ATTGCCTAAGCCTCGTGATTTCACTAACAGATGTCCAAACCCTTGGGCCATTTTTGAGAAAAGTTTTCAGGCTTGCTATTTTTATGGATAAAATAATGAATTGGCTGTTTCAAAAATCGACTCAAATCGAGTCGTTCAACAACACTAATTAATATAAAAAAAATAAACATAAAAAAATTACATTTCCAATTTTATATATTGGTAAGTCTAGTTTGCCATATAAAAACGTAAGTAAAAAAATCTAGATTCAAAAAAAGGTAGGGTCTATTCAACCCAATGACATATAATAATATCATTGATTCAACCCCAACTCAACAAATTGCATATAACTATATCAAATCTAAGTCATGAAATTTGGTAGATATATATTATATATATATATATATACACACCTTATTATAAAATATTAAACTACTGTAATAATAACCATGTCAAAGTACCTTCAAGTTATAATATTGCCAAAATTATTTCGTGAGGTAAGATTATACCCGCCTCACCTTTGTTCTGTAGATTTAAAATAAAATTGTAATGACAGAGAGGATTTGGGTATTCTTTTGACTCTAAAACGAGCTATTATTAAAGATCTACAATGAATGGGTTTTAGCTCAAAAGCCTGAACCGTCATTTTGGAAATAAATTTTGAAGCCCGCCAATATGTTAAAAATTAACCAATCCGTTATTTAAAAAGAGACTGAAATTTACTAATGAAATTTTGAAATATAAATACTTTTAAATAATTTAGCTGCCCTATCCAATCTCACCAGTAAAATATTTTAAGCTAATCTGCCCAATCTCCATCAGTTGTTTGAAAAATTACGTTCATCCACCCATTGCTTAAAATTTTTAAAACGCTAGTACCAAAAACTTGTTTTTTTTACATTTAAAATAAATTATTACTAATATAACATTTAATTTAAATGGATAAATTGATGATAATATAAGTGTGAAAAATTTAATATTGTCGATATAAGATAAACAAAAATCTGTGTCTTCCCCTTTCAAATCGTTCTTTTCCTACCATACGGCTCTTCCAAGAAACAATTTTTTATATTATTATTTAAATCATTATTTTTTAAATACAAATAATTTATAAAATGAGTTCAAAAAAATTTAATTATAATTTAAAAAATAACTATTAAAAAACATATGGTAACATTAATTTTAGGAGAAAGTATTAGATAATGCCATATCATTTAGGAATTAACAAAAGATACATACAGCATTTTTCTATTATCCCAAAACACGATGTTTTATAAATTATAATCCTTTTAGTTTGATAACATCTTCCTCTTTTTCATCACGACAACACACTTCATCATAAAATTATTCATTTACAAAAACAACCATATTCGTAATGTAAATCAAATATATTTAAAAATTTTAATAAACGTTTTAATTTAAAAATTGAGTTACCTCATTTAAACCCTTGAACATTTTAAACTTTATGTTCTATTGAACTATTGGACTGTTACGAAACCACCTTCACATTATAATACCTAAATGATCAATTTTAAGCTACATATAGTGTAGAGTATATTATTAATTATTTCATTATTACTAACAAATACTTAAATTTTATTCAAAATTATAAATAGTCTTAATTTAATCAGAGATTTGCAAAATCCGGCCAATCTAGGCCCATTAAGATTTTTACATATGTTACATTACTAATTTTCCCGTAATCTATATCTCTGTTTATTTTTTTTCCCAATGTCATGGTCATGGCTATCTATTTCTTTAACAACTGTTTTATAAATCAATTGTGTTTTGTTATCTTATATTGTGTATTTGTAATTGGATCATTGAATATATTTTTTTAATTTTTTGTGAAATTAAATTAAATATTTTATTTTATATATATTTAGTATTTTAGCTAGACAGCTCTTAAAATGAAATAAGCTATTGTAATTTATTTTAATATATATTTATATTTTATTTATCAATCAAAATCGAAATATTTGCCTGAATTTAAATTTAGTATTCTATTTTATATTTAGTATTTTAGCTTGACAGCTCTTAAATACAATGAAATATAAGCATATTGTAATTTATTTTAAAATAATATTTATATTCTATTTATTAATGCTAGGGCTTTTAAAGAATCGAGATTTACAGTCAATGCCTGATATTTTATTTGTGCTAAGAACATAATGATAATTAAAAATTACTCTCAAAATTAAAAAGTTGCGCGTTTAGGATTAAAAAAAATCTTTAACTATTAAATATATAAATTTCAATATTCATTTTAAATATGGCCCTGGAGAAAGCCATCTTAAGGGCCCTGTGTTCTATATAAATTTTGATCCATAAAAGTATACTATATAAATTTTTCAGACTAAAGCCGATTTTGTAAATATATGATATCTGAGTCTTTAGACAGTAATATTGCCGCAAATAGTTTGGTATTCTTTTTTTTACTCAAGAAATATAAATATGCTAAAATGGTCTCCAATTACAAAATATACTAACTTAATTTATTCCCTATCCCTTTTCAAAAATTATTAGAAATTTCACCGTGGCAAAAAAAGACCTAATTAGTTAAAATAAACATAAATATATCACATATTTTTTTTAAAGAGAATATTAAAATGAGTGCCTAAAATAAGTTAACAAGATATTCGAAGTAGAGCCAGTAAAACCATCAAATATTTCTTCTAAGTTTTCGATTATTACAAATATTAAACTTTCCAATCTTATATGTAATTCAAAACAAAATCGACATATTTAACTCGTGATATGTGACATGCCTTTCCCCTTTAAAAAGCTTTAATTTAAGAATCTTAAGTATCTACTAGAAAAATTTATAGCGAAATGAAATTGATTAAATTTAAGCAATTTTCTTTTCCTCTTATAATTGCGACATTGTAGCATTTATTATTCATTGTCAATATAGGTATATATTAATATGTTTTTAATATTCCATAATTTATGATAAAATAGCATTGCGTAATTTTGGATTTAAATAATAGCGAATTTTTCTATACGTTTATAAAATAATCATAGCCGTTTAAGCCTATTTATAGCCGGAACCAAGTTAGCGGAAAACTATCACTCTGGCCTTGGAGGTTTTCTTAAAAATGATAGCAGCTCAAATTTGAAAGAAACTAATATAAAGTAAACCACCTTAATCTTACCGAATTTTTTCCGGCAGGCCTCTGTAGATTAAACCGAAATAGCAGATATTTAGCTATTACTTAATTATATATCTCACATAGAAAATCGCTAGTGGCACACTTTAAGGCCTAAAAAGAAGCAAAAAATTGGAACTTTTTTAAAATATAAATAATAAATAAATTAGCACTTATTTTATTACACAAAACAAATCCAAGAAAAAAAAAATTGCCAGAATTATTTCATTTTTTTGAATCCTAACCTGATTCAACTCTAAAAATAGGTACAAGGCCCATCTGATTTAAGAATAACGGAAAAATTTTATGTCTAAAGAAGAATTTAAAATTCCTTTGGTTGTTTATCAACCAAGAGTATACCGTAAAGATGAAAGTCCACCGTATATTAACTTATAACTATACTAATTCATAATAAACAAACAAATTAGAATAAATAATTGAATATATAACTTATTATAGTTTTAATTGAATATATAACTTATTATAGTTTTAATTGAAGTCATAAAGGTAAGGGTAGAAGAAATCCCGCTAACTTTGATCAAAATTATGTTAGGCTCAAGCCTACTTATAAGTCATAAAAAATAACTGGGATTAGAATCGGCTTAAGAATAAAAGAACTCTTGGTAAAAACAAGATAAAAACAGTTTAGAAATTTGATGAAAGAATATATATTTGTTTTATCGAAATATCTTCATTTTTAAAATTGGCATTATGAAGAATTAAAAGAAAAACGATTGTATTCTTTGTTTCCAAAACGAGGACGCTATGTGCGATCTGAAAATTTATGTTTTTCCTATTTGTGATTTGAAAAAAAATTGGTTAAAATCACATATTCATAATGATATACATATGTTTGCAAATAAAATTGTTAATTTTACGTTTTTTTAGCTTTAGAAGCAAATAAATGAAGGACTTATATTTTTCTTCTCTATTTTATAATTATCAATTTTTAATTTGTGCACAAAAAGAAAATAAAAATAATTATCGTAATTTTGGATACAATAAGACTATTTCCAATTCTTTTTTATTTTAAAGGCTTTATATATTGAAAAGAAAATATGCAGGTTTCTTCATTCTTTAAAGCGCATGCTCGATTTGAGCCAATTTTTAAATTTTACCCCAAAAATATCACGCTAGCCTAAAAATTTTGCTCATAGATTTGGGAACTTAAAGATAAATGAGAAGATAGCGAAAATGTTATATAATTAATAAAAGGTTTTGATTAGGAAAGCATATTGGTTGGGTTAATTTTAAGTTTATTTAGCAAAATGATGTTTTAAAAAAAGTATTAATTTAGAAATGAGAAATATAAGCTAATCTTAACTGATCTTTATATGAGGACCATAGTCCGGCCTGTGCACCGGATTGTAATCTTATCTACCCGTAATATTCTTCTTACAAGTCGACTCAAAAATATAAAAAAGATGTTTTATAATTTTTTTAAAATAAAATAAACCATAGTTATAATTTTATTTAAAAATTAATTAGAATGCGTTTTAAATAGAAATTATGGGTTAGACGAGTAAAAAAACTAATTATATATCAGTGTGGATAAAGAGGGTTTATATGCGAACTGATGGACGTTAGATATTTAAAGGGAAAAATATCAATCTCGATATATGCTAAAAATAATAGTACTGTTCTTTTGTATCAAATTATGTTATTTGCATATAAAATCCTTATAGGCCTTTTAAAAAACATTTTAATTGCTGTTCCTTTATATATATGATAATGATATTCTCGAGACCCACCGCGCAAATATCTTACAGTCAGCTGTCCTGCTTTGTTGGAAGGGGATGGGAACAACAGTTCTACTTAATATTATATTATTACTAATATATAATAAACTAAATAATATTTATTTTTTTTTACCTATTTTTGGGGATTGTTTTATTGGTGGATCCAAGGGATATTTAGAAACGGTGTTAGATAATATGGGGTTTTGAAAGTAATCCATTGTAGTTGTAGTTTTAATTTGATAGGAATCAATTTTGTTTTTTTTGAATTTACTATTAATCATATTTCTGAGAGCTTCTAATTTGGATGTTAGACTACTTGATTTAATTGTATTTATATTGTTTTCATTTTGTGTATTGTAGAACACTTTTCGACAATTCGATGTGTTGTAGCGGTGAGAATCCTTACAAAATTTGGAGTCTATAATTAATTGTTCGATTGTTACGATTTCATAGAAATAATATAACATTAACAAAAAGATCCATGCCATGATAGAATTCATTCTTTATTTATTTTTTATTTTTTTACCGAAAATTTAGGAAATTAAAATTCATTTTAAAAATGGGGCAAAAATATTTGGTCAATTTCCAGGTATAGAAAATATGGGAAGGATAATTTAGTTTTTCATTCAGAAATTGAATTTTTTTTGTTTTTATGGGGGTGTAATAATTTACATTTTATAAAATTTATTTTATTTATACCATTTGTTTTATTTCGTCAATTTATTGCAAATTTTTCTTTTTTTTTAAAAAAATTTCTGTTTTTTTTTTAAATCTTAACTTTCCAATAAACAAATAAAAATTAAAATAAATAACAAAAAGATAAATCTTCTTCTTTTTTTCCCTTGATTTTATTCAGGATATTTTTTTTTTAAAAAAGTAAATATAACAATATTTTAAATAAATAATTTACTGAAATAAGTGAGTATAAAAACCTTGATCTCTAATTATCTTGGTTTTTAATATCTAATATGATGCGGAGGTTTTCAAGCACGGGGCTAAATTCCTCCTTTAAGTTTTTGCGAATCCTATTTTTATGATATGTTGCGCATACAATATATATTACAATTTTAAATTAGTATTTAAGTAAATATAGTTCTCCAAATTCTATTACTAAGATAAAAATTTAATTTTAATATGACTACGGAGATTATATCTTAGAAGAATAAATAGATATACATAGTTTAGAAGGTAGAATGGAAACAACTGCTAAATGCTACATTTACATTTTTTTTTTTGAAGAAAAAAAAAGATTTGAAAAATATTAACAATTGCAAACTTTTATTAATATGTTCATTTTTTTTTTAAAAAACATTACTTCTATCTCCGTAAAATAAATATTTGATTTTATATGTAGTAAAAAATATACTAAATAAATATTTTCTTAATAAAAAAAATGGTAATTAGATTTCAAGGAATGGGCTTCCTTCCTGCTGATAAATAAATAAAACGATTTAAATTAAATAAAATTACATTTTCGAGTATTTCGATTACGTTAAAATGTAGTATCTTTTAAATGGTCAATAAAATCGAACTCGAATCTACTTTTAAAACAATTTAGATTTGTTTTGACAAAAAAAAATTCTCTCCTTGGAACGGTCGGATTAATATTTTTTACCAAATATATATTCGCTTGCATAATTATTTAGGATTATAATAAGTCTGCGTGGTTCTCGCTTCATGGGTCTTAATTTTTTAACCGAGCCCGGCCCAGGCCCGCAGTAAAAAATTTTTTAGGTCCAGCCTAGCCCCCAAAATTTAATTTATTGTATTTATTAAAAAAATATATTTTATTTTAGTGTGTTTAGGCTATCATTTTGTTTATAACATAGTTTATTATTAGAAGAAGAAATATTTCTTAAGTTGGCAACTGTTTTAAATAAGCAAAATTTAAATTTAATAATTTTAGGTCAAGCCCATTAAAAAAATCTTCAAAAACCCAGGCCTGATATAAGCCCGCTAGAAAATATGAAGGTCTCTAGTTCTCACTCTAGGAATAAGAATATAGGCATATAATTCCGTTTCTTTTTCTCTTTCTTTCTTGCCTCGAGAAAAAAATAGCTAAAGGTTAGGGCTAGTTTGACACCCGTATTGGTTACAAGTCTCACAATGCATCCAAATTTCTTTTCGTATATCAATTTAATAAAATATAAATATTTTGTATATATAAATAATATATTTAAGTTTTTATTTACTTTATACAATAAAAATACATATTTCAAAATATGTAATTTGTCATTCTGACGAATGAATTAATTTAGAGTTAGACAATATTGGTAAACTAATCTCTTTATTTATGATAATCCATAAATTTGAAAAACGATGCACATTTATGCATAATTAAAAATCAATTTTGGTTTCCCGCCATTTCCTTTTTTTGAACGTTATGATACATCTATAATATTTATATATACGATCGACAAACAAATGCAAACCAAACAGATTTATATTGTAGCGGCCTCTAATAAAAAATAAATTTAATCTAATAACTAATTTGTGAGTATAATTAATCAACTAATGTAGTAAGAGTCAGCTCACCGGTAATTCTTGTGGAGGTCAGAATTGTAAAAACCCTATTTAACAATAATACTAGTTACTAAGATTAGATAAAGCATGTTGAAGATAATTATGGCAAAGTTTATAAAAATAATATGTTTTGATATTAAAACCAATATCAAAAGTTATACATTTATATTATAGTAAAAATTAAAAAAATTTTTTTGTATATATGTAAATTTTGTGGGGCTCGCCACAATTATTTTATATTTTACAAACAATTCTCAACAAAATTAACAAGAATTTATATTAAATATAATGTCAATTTGAGATCAATGTATAATTATTAAAATATTAATTTTTAAAATACCTGATCTTATACACCCCACAAAAGTATTGAAGTAAATTATGTATATTATAATAATTATATATATAAATTTAAAATAATGTTTAGAATGAGGAAAAAATGGCCCGATCAAGAAGACCGGAGCAACAAGAATCCGAACAAAAAAGCCCTACTTTTAAACAACTATTTACATGGTTAGTAAATGGGGATAATGTGGAAACAAAGCTTTATTAGTAAATGAGATTTTGTTTTTCTTAGTTTTCATTTTAGTGGAGTTAATAAAATGATAATATATGGCAGCAGGTGAATAAATTTGCATTGAATCACATCATTTACATTACTTTTAATAATATTATTAATTTATTTTTGAATCTTGATAATCAATAATAATTATTTTTTTAAAAATATTCTTCCTTTTATTCTCACTCTCTCTTTTATCTCTTATATTTAACGTTTAAATCTTCAAATCAAATAATTTGATTAAAGTGGGACAATGAATGCCAAACTTGGAAAACGATTGAAAGATAAAGATTTATGTAATATGTGACTCTTAGTTATCTATATTTTGTTAAAGCTAAAATATTTATGCAGAAAGATTTTCATTAAAGAAATATATTAATATAATTCATTATTAAAATTTGTTTGAGAAATCGGTTCAAATTCATATAAATGGAATCGGCAAAGCTTTAGATGAGAACCCCCCCTCCCTTCCCCCTCAATTACTAAAATATATATATAATTTTAAAATAAATATTAACTATGTATGTTGGCTAATCAGGAGCACCCCCTTCCCTCCGATTTTAATGACGTAATTTATTTGTGGGTCATGGAAAGAATGTGGGCTCAAAATTTTTTAGCATATAAATCATTAATTTTAGTAGCCTAACAAGCCTTCACAGTTAGTGCGAATTCGCGGCGAAGTAGGGGAGACCTGGGCCTACTTTTTTATTTTAGGACTAATTGTTATTTGGTCAAAAGATCTATCTCTATACATCTTCATTTAGTAGTAAGAGGCCCGTATTCAAAAGATATTGATCAAAAATAATTTTTTAGCCCTTTAACTTTTATTTTTGGTTTTGAGTTTAAAGTATTCCCTCAGATTAAATGAAATTTAAATATCATATTTCACAATGTATAAGCTACCTATTAAACTAAATCCGTGTTTTTTTTCAGTTTATCTGGAAATAATTCTAGAGCCATTTAAGCAAACTCACTAACCGGGGGTAGAGCATCAATGGGTAAAATGACAAATAAAATAGTTGGCACAATATTATCTAAAATTTTCTGGACTCCTTAACTAGCTAAATTCGAATCATGATAGTGATATTGAAAAACTAAATGATGATAATATTCCTTCATGTTTAAATAGATTTAATCCATGTTATTGCCAAAAATTTATATTCCTATTGACAAAAAGGGTAAAAAAAATCATCAAAAATAATTATCGCATCTCCATATAAAAAAAATTAATAAAATGTAAAAACGATAAAAATAAAAAAATTGAAAAAGGAAAGATTGGAATTGTGTGTTGTGCAGTAAAAGTTATAACAATAGTAAAAAACGATAAGATTGGATACAGTATACCAAACTAGTTGTGCTAGGAATGAGCCTTTTTTGTGAGCCTTGTGAGCCCTTGTTGTGATGATTAATTTTTTTTTGAAAATATTTGCAATTTGTATTAATATGTGTAGTTAATTTTTGATTATATTTATTTTAATAATCAAATCAAGAGTAATAAAAATAAGGAATTAAAAATTTGACAATAAATATACTAATATTTTTTCAATTTCTCGATGTTTTATATTAGCTAGATTGGATTTATAATTAATTATTAACATGTAAATTTAAATTATAACAATAAAAATTAAAATATTTATGTAAATTTGAAATTTGACATCTTAATATTTATGTAAATATGATATTTGACATCTTACCCCGAAGAGCTTGCCATCTTACCCAAGGTAGGTAGTAAATAGCAAAATGCACTATTTTTCCCTAAACTTTAATAGCGCTAAACGGTCTCCCCATTTATTTATCTATCTCGCCGCGAATTCACGCTAACTGTGAATGCAGGGTAATAAAAGCGCGTTTACTCAAATTCAGTTTTTTTTGGCCGGAGTCCATTTCAATTAACTTAATTTAAAACCTTATCACGGTCCTACTTTATTGATTTTTAGACACGAACCTCTTCTACCCTTTCCGAATATTTTTTTAGAGTCTGAAAATATTTAAATTTAAAAATAGAAATAAAAAGCATTTCCATTTTTGTATAATGTAAAATTTTAAAAATTATTCCTTTTTCTAATTCCAGAGAAATTCTAATTTAGAAGCGATTTATCTAATCTTTAATAAAGTCGTATGGCTGGAAATAATCCCTCGGCTAACACACATAATAAATCATTCTTTTTTATTTATTTTGTATTTTTTAAGCTTTAGTTTAACTCTTTTTAAAAAATATTTTTTAACCCGAAGCTGAGATGCAGGGCTCTATCTAACCCCAGAACAAGCCATTTGCATTTTGCTGCATCTTTACTCTTGGTAAATATATGTTTTTTTAAATATGAAAATATATGAACTTTTTGAATAACATTATTCAGATAAATAAATATTTATTAACTTTAAAGGCCATTTTTCTTTTGCAAATTATTTGCCGCTTTAAACAAAAAAATTTTTCATATAAGGAATAATAACAGTAATTTAAATTTAAATTAATAATATAATTTTCATCG